AGAAAAGTAACTGTGTCTGTTCTGTTTATGATTATTTTAAAAATGTAATATTATCCAATTACAAGTTCTTAGTTTTTGGAATATTATTACATAATCTAGATTACATGTAATCAGTTACTACCCAGCACTGGTTACTTGTAATGCATTACTCCCAATGCTCATTTCAGATGCACCTGAAAACCTGGTCGTTTTTTTTCCACAGTCTGAAAATCAATAAATCAATGTAGATTTCGGTCGGAGGGTTTCTCCGTGAGGAGAGCTAGGGTAGAAAGGTGTCCACTTTGAACATAATCAGACTTATCAGCTAATAAGGGTAAATCAATATACGCAAGTGTGAGTGTTTCTTTCATAGCCTGAGTTGGGTTTCCACAGAGTTGTAACTTCACCTGTTGTAGAGAATTTTGATGGAATCACGTCCTCATGTTCAGATTTCAAATACGCAAAAAGTTCAGCTTGTATGATTTTTAGGGCTGTGCAAAAATTAATTGCGATTAATCGCATCCAAAATAAAAGTCTGTGTTTACATAATATATTTGTGTGTGCTGAATATAATTATTTTGTATATATAAATACACACACATGCATGTATATATTTAAGAAAATGTGTTATTCATATATAAAATATTTATATAATATAGATTATGTGTATATATATATATATATATATATATATATATATATATATATATATATATACAGAATTTAAGTGCAAATAATTCTTAAATATATACATGCATGCATAGGTATTTATGTATACAAAATAATTATATACAGCACACACAAATATATTATGTAAACACAGACTTTTATTTTGGATGCGATTAATCGCAATTAATTTTTGCACAACCCTAATGATTTTATTTGTCTGCTGGTCGAATGGGAACAAACTCAAAACATTTCTATATTCTCAATACAAATACAAATCTAGTTTTCGCATGATTTCATGATTTTTGCATGATTTTATTCTCAATACATATCTAGTTTTCACATGATTTTATGTCATTTAATTCATTGGTTTGTTAAATACACAAAGTATTGTTGCGTTATTTACTGTATTATGTTTAGTAAAGGATCTCTTCATTTAAAACTAAAAACTCTATCAATGACCTTGACGTGACCTAAAAATGCATATCATCCACTCAAGTGGCCAGAGCAATAAAAGCGTAAAAAAAAATCTTTACTGAGGTTATCATAATTGTCAATTACTTGAGTACAATTCGAGGTACACAGTTGCACTCATGCTCAAACTCCCATTATAACCAATGAATATGCTGTGCAATGAATCTTTTATCGACAGAATTTTTCTTATTTGTTGGTTTATTTTGGAGGGTGCCAAAATGTGCTGGGAAATGCAGGAACAGGCCTGATATAACACATTTAATTGATCACGTGCATTAATCAATTTAATTTTGACAGCATACATTTTTCACATAATTCACCAATATTACGGTCCTCGAACATGTTATCTGCTCGTACAGTTGATTATGCAATTATTCCTGATTTCTCTAGTCAGATTTTTTTCAAGTAAGTGTGTCTGATCCACTTAGAATGAAAAGATTAAAGAGGCCCTAAACTGTCTTGTGGTGTTTTATAGGACAAGCTTTTTGTTACATAAACAGGCTGAACATACTTCAACAAAATCGGTTATAATCACACTTTTGATGTGAAGAACCATTGTGAGAAACATCCTCTGTCAAACCAAAAGCATCAAGCAGATTGATATCCAGATGTTTAATGTCCCACGGTTCTGCAACATGTTTCTTGCTTCAATGCAAGAGAGAGGCAAAACAGAAGAGGGAAACGTCTATCGCATTGAGCCGTGCCATGGTTAATGATGCCAGATAGAAAGACGGGAGACAGAAAAGAGATGGATGGGGGAAGAATGAGAGAATTGTGTATGCATCTGCTCTTTACATCAAACAGAGTTTGGAAGAAAAATACGAATGCCAGGACTTCATACGCGTTAATGATCAAGCTTCAATTAAAAGTAGGTCAGAAATGTCACTGTTTTCCTCGTTATGTCAATCCATCAGTAAATGGAAGTATATGACTTTTTTCACTGATGTGTGTAATTTCTGTTACACTAGCATCATAATTGGAATTATTTTTAGCAAGTGGGGGGGTATCTGCAGGTTGGAGTAATGGGCATGCCAAAAGGCCGCAAGGTCTTTACAATTGGTTGCGAAAGCTGCCTGTTCCACATAAAGATGTGCTGTAAGCTTAAATGCTATTAAAAGGAAGTGATAAATCCAACATAGACAATATGTGTGCCTTCTTTAACAGTAAAAATGGCGATAATTAAAAATATTGCATTTGAAAGTACGTATATTTCATTCATTCATTCACAAAATGGACACCTATGATGTCTGATGATGATATGAATGTCAACTCTAAAGGCTTTGATGCAAATACAGTCACTGTTTTTTTTTCTCAACTACAATAAAATAATGACTACAGCTGCAAGATATAACGCAAACAAAATATACAATTATTTTATTTGCTGTTGTAATAAGTGCTGTCAAGCGATTAAGATTTGAATCTAACTTTTTTCAGAATCTGCATCTGAAGTGGCATTTACAGGTATTTACACAGACTGTTTAATGCTGCTCAGAGCGGTGGCTTGAATGCAGTTAGAATTGCATAAATAATGCTATGAGATTAACGAGTTTTAAATGGGTATTAAAGGGATAGTTCACCATAAGTTAAAATATTGTTGTTCCAAACCTGTATGATTTTCTTTGTTCTCTTGAACACAAAAGAAGATATTTTGAAATAATGTTGTTTGTGATTGATGGCACCCATTGAATTCCATATTAGGGAAAAAAAAATACCATGGAAGTCAATGGCTATACCGTCAACTGTCTGGTTATCAATATTTGTTTATTTTTTTTTATTTATTTTGTGTGTGTGTGTGTGTGTGTGTTCAACAGAAGGAAGAAATTCATACAGGTTTGAAACAACTTGAGGGGGAGTAAGTGATGGCAAAACTGTCATATGTGGCTGAACTATGCATTTAATGGGTAAAAAAAAATGAATATTTAAATATTTAATTATTGAAAAATGAAATTGTACCAGGAAACTATCAAAGCACCAGTAAGGCAAGTCACTGTTTTAATGAGTGAGTCATCAGTCATTCATTCAACCGATTCATTCAAATGGCTGATTCATTCAGGAATTAAGCAAGTAAGACTGTCTTTCTGAATGGGTCACTGAATTATTGGACTGAATTATCGATTCGTTAAAAAACGCTGGATTCATTCAATAACAAAATACTTCTGTGTGTTGCACAACAGTTCTGAAGTGGGATTTTTGGGGCTATTTTGTTGGGGAAATTGAGCAAAGACAATACTGTTTCTAAAATGTAACACAAAATGAACCATGTTTATTGAACTGTTGTATAAAATCAATATGTTCAAAAATGAATAATTTTAACGCATTACTTTTTCCATAATTAATCTTACCAAATGAAGCATCACACCACATCCTATTTCCATCATCTTCCGGTCTAAACATAATGACTTATATATATGGTTAATGCTGATTTGCCAACGCAGTTTTTTTTTTTTTTTCACCAATGATAAACCTTTTGGCACGCCCATTACTCCAAACTGCAGCTTTTTTGTTCCCTGGCCCCTCCCTCTGTTCTCCCATTGGTCAGATTAATGGATGGCCCCACCCACAGTTAACTGTATTTCACTGTTGCATCCAGCTCCACAGTGTTTACTGGGAAATCAGACTCGTAGTTATTTTAACTGTTGTCTCTGCCCATAAAGCTGAGATAGAAAGTATTTTAACAGCAAATATACACACTTTAATAAATGAGTCTATGTCGCTTTAGTCCTTTATCATTCTGTCTGTTTTCGTTGTTCTCAGGCCTATTGAGTCGGGTTTGTATGGCAGGCAATTGTCACGCAGCTGAGAGAAAGTGTCTGCTAAAGCATTATCATTGTGATCAATGGCCCAATTCACTTTTTATCCAACTGTCAAGCATCAAACCCTGATGCTGAATACCATTTACTGTTGTGGAAGCAACAGTGGCTTGACTTTGATTAATAAACAAGCTTTTGACGCCACATGCCACTGCCACATTATCCATCTGACATTTTTTTTTTTTTTTTTAATTTCCTGAAGCCTAAAGATTGAATCGGTTGTGCGGTGCAATCATAACAGAAAATATGAGCAGCCCTATATTTCTGCAAACTTGAAAGAATGTAAACTAAGTGTCCGTGGAAATGTGAGAGAATGTTTTCAGAAAACATTTAGACATTGATTGCATAAATATGGAAATTATCTGACATTTGTCATCAAAGTGTGTAAATGAGGCATTCTCAAGGTATTTGGTCTGTTCTGACCTGGAAATAACAATCATGCAATAACCATACAATCATGCATAGAAAAATAAACCTGGAAATGGATGATAAATTCGGTAACACTTTGTAATTTACTGTGACCTTGTTACATGGATTTATTATACTAATACCTATAAATTATGCATAATTGTATGAAACTAACCCTAAACAAAACCCTCCTCCTATGTAGTTAATTCATATTACTCAGTGCCTAAATATATAATTACAATGTAACAGGGACACATTAAAATAAAGAACTTCCTATTTATTTTGCTGTTGTCGAAATAGACCATACAACTGTATTTTGTTGGAAAATCATTAGCATTATTGAATAATATGTCTAATATATTATATTTGACCCAGTGTTTGTTCCATAGACGGGTAAATCACACTTCCTATGTTAATGCATTTACAAAATTCACTATTATTCACTATTCAGCCTGTCATTTAATTATTTTTCATTGTTGTTCATGTCAGTATTAATGTACTTTGATGCTAGATTTAAAGGTTTGTTTTGTTAAGTTTGTACATTAAATCATGTTGGTATCCAGCATAAAATCTTGGTACTGAAACAAAAATAAATAATAAACAAATTTAAACAAATCGAGCATCTTCTGTTTTCTTATCTATTTTGTTGTTTTATGTTTTCAGATTCGATCGGACCAGGACAAAGAGATTGAGATCCGGTACAGTATAACAGGAGCCGGAGCAGACCAGCCTCCTAGTGACGTCTACATCATTGATCCTGTGACTGGGAAAATGTCTGTCACTAAACCTTTGGACAGAGAGGAGAGAGCCTCTTACCATGTAAGTGTGTCTCTTTCCAGAGTTGGCTCGAGAAGATAATTTTTTGCCCTATTCAGATCCTATTTAAAGTGGAACTGGCCTCAAACCCATTTAGGAAACATGCTCCAGTTAGCAAGAGTTGATGGCCTTTTGCCAATTGGAATAAAACTAGAACTGAACTGTCTTGTTTTAAAATATGCAGTGATCCCAAAAAGTATTTGGACAGTATTTGGACACTTGAGGCACTTTTAAAAGTATATGAATCCCTTTGCAATAAAGAACAAAATACGGGAGCTAAATGAAGACAAAAAAAAATCAGTTAGTTGAACATATTTTTGTGTGTTCATGCATGATGATAATGATTTTTATACTGTACAAACTGTATATTATATCCCCTAACCCTTAACATAACTATTTAAAAAAAAAAATAATATATATATATATATATATATATATATATTCTGTATGATTTATAAGCTGTTTTCCTCATGGGGACCAAAAAATGTCCCTGCAAGGACAAGTATTTCTCATATTTCCCTCTTTGTGGTGATATTTTGTCCCAATAACGTATAGTATACCTGAAATACATACTTGTGTGCACTCATACACACAATGGATTTATTAAATTATAATATTAAACCAAGTGACCTCTTCAAACAAAACCTTTTCCAACACCTTTTCAATCATCTTAAACTAAATGGCCTCAAGGTCATTTTTGGGGATGTGTGGAGTAGAGTATTCCCGCAATACTGGACGCTAAAGTTTCAGGACCTCAGTCCTAGGACCACATTTCTAGGACCTTTTATTATTATTTATATTTAATAGATATATTGTCCTAACCAACCCTAAACACAACTGCTGGTAACCCTCTTGAAATATATGAGGCCCTATATTCTGGTTTTAAATTTAAGATTTGCTGGAAAGAACGACCTTATTTTTCAAAAATGGTAGTAGGAGACTTTCTTTTCATTTGCCACAGCTCGCCATGGTACTTCTTGTCTGGTGTGTGATTGACTGAACAAAGGGCAGTAAACGGTAACTGTAACTGTTTACGCTACAACACTGTACCAAATATTGTTAGTTTAAACCTTATGGTTGCCTTAAAATGTTAAGTTGATTGAACTGGAAAAAGTGAGTTAATACAATGAAGGGGATTAATTTAATCATCAGAAACTCAAAATAATCAGTTATCTCAACTAAATAAATTATTTAAGTTGATTTGACAAAAGAAGATATGTTGTGATAACAAATATTTATTTATTTATTTATTTATTTTTTATTTATTTATTTTTTTACAGTGTAGATTTCTAGGTTAAATATATAGTGGCTTATGTGGCCAAATACATTTTTGCTGCCAGTGTACTGGATATACAAACTCCAGTTTTGAATGAACATAAATCTATATTTTGTATAACTATTATTGGCGCTTCAGGATTACTTTTTTAATCAGACAAGCTAAGAGATCTGACTTGATTGCAAACCTGATTGGTTCCAGAATGCTGTAGCCATCAAAAACAATAGCAGTTGTCTTGTCAGCCTATATATCAAAGACAAAACTACAGACTTAGTAAAGCTACTGTAATACTTGCCAAGCAAAGTTTGCAGAAATCCTAAAATTCATATTTCATTGTGCAATTAAGTCTATTCACACGGCTTTCAATGCATTAAAAACAAATCGTTTCGGACCTGCTGGCTGGCGTCAGTTGTTGAGTGCTTTTTTTGTTTTGTTTTTGTTCCTGCTATTCTGTTTATGTGGCTCTTTTTTATGAATAATGTGAAGAAAAGCTAGAGACAAAGAAAAGAATTGCTTTGACACGTCAGTTTTTTTTTTCTTTCTTTTTTTTTCAGTTAGTCAAACTGTCAATTAGACGAAGGTTCAGTGGCAACGTGCTGATGAGAGAGTGGGAGAGAGAGAGAACGGGAATAAAATAGTGTTGAATTGTCACAAGTGATGAGTATGCAACTCCCAATGCATCAACTCAACTGGGGAATCAAATCAAACAGCGACCCTGCCCCCTTATGTTTCTGCCTGTCACCCCACCTCTGTCACAAGCAAGGCTGCCAGCCAGCCTTCCCTCTGCCACATCTTCCCCTCGACTGTCATTCACTCATATTCTCCTAACACAACACATTGCTCTTGATTCTCACGGTTGTTCCTTACAATTATGACTGCCTCTTTATCTCAGCTGTTTTGCAGGAAGTGTCAATAGGCCCTTAGTATATATTTAGATCCTATTAAACGAGGTCTTCTCTGTTTGCGGCTCCTACTTTTGACTTATGCCTCCCTTTCTCTCTCACTCCTCTTTTCTCTTAACTCTCCGGTCCATTGAGCAGTAGATGATCTGGCACCGTGCGTCTACCTATCAGTCTAAATTACGGCTCGGCTTGTCTCACCAGGTGTGTGCGTGAGTGTGTCTGCATATCTGAATAAGTCAGCACCCGTGGTGGTTAAGTTAGAGGCCGTGTGTGTGCGCGCGAGTGCATACTTTTTCTAAACATAGAAAGCTGCCTATGGAGGAATGATACTGTAGGCCGCCCAAAGGTAGGTCACTTAATTATGCTGTCTCTTAAGATACCTCGTTCGGGCCAAAATCAAAGATCGTACTGCATAGATCCTCCATGGAGAAGGCAATGCCAGAATGCATTGTGGCATGCTCAGTGGGAAAAAAAAAGAAAAAATATATTATTATTAATTATAAATATATTATAAATTATAAATATATAAAATATATATTATTATTATTATATTTAACATATTATGTATATATAATATTTATAATATGAAGAGTTCAGATGCAAAAGCCTCTAAGTGCCATTTGAAATTTTCTTCTAGAATGATCATTTTTATCAAGCTTGTATATTTAAGTTCAGTGATTTCACTTAAATGGCAATGATGATTACCTATTAATTGTTATTTAAGTGAAATTACTGAACTTAAATATACAAGTTTGATAAAAATCATCATTCAAGAAGAAAATTTCAAATGGCATTTCGAGGCTTTTGCATCTGAACTCTTCACATATACTCTACTCGTCAAAAGTTTTGGGTCGATAAAAGAAAGACGCATCTTATCACCATCTCGTATGCACTTATTTGATAAAAAAATCAGTAAAAGCTACTATTGTAAAATATTATTACAGTGAAATTTAAAATAATACAAATTTCTGTGATGGCAAAGCTGAATTTTCAGCAGCCATTACTCCAGTCTTCAGTGTCACATGATCCTTCAGAATCGAAGAATTTTTATCAATTCTTATTGGTGCTTAATTATTGATAAAGGTTATTATTGTCAGTGTGTCACTTTTTTGCACATTTTTTATGATAGAAAGAACGGCATTTATTTGAAATAGAAGACTTTGCATCACTATAAATGTCTTTGTCACAGTTTGTGGTAGACAAGGCAGGCGAAGATGAAGAACTGTTCAAAGATAGTCTTTAATTATAATTCACAGGTATATCCAAAACAAGGAAGAAAAGTACCACGTAACATAATCGTATCTACTCTCGTTGGGATAGACGAGACCGAAAAACACAAGAGAAACACACATGAACTGTAGTGCCAATGATAACGGTATACACACCTAAACAGAATGACAAATCATAAGTTAACCATGACAGCAAAAGGTTAGCGGGAGCGGAAATGAGGGAAAACGTCTCAGGTTACGATCCAGGAAGTATGGCAGGGTGACGCATCGTCTTGTTCCCTTTTCAAGGGAACTCGCAATGCATCAACAACGCTTTGGGAACGAGAATACCCAAATTGCCAGACTTTCAAATCCATGGGTGTCCGTCTGTTGTCACACCACACTAAGCACTAAGCACCTGAGACCCTGGGGCAGCCTCCAAGTCCAGGCTATAAAATCTGACGAATGTGAGAGGAGAGGACCAAACCGCCGCATCACAAACATCTTGAAGAGAAACTCCCGATAATAAAGCTTTAGAAGCCGCCATACTCCTAGTAGAGTGAGCCCTGACCGCTAAAGGGTAAGGCAGGCCAGAGGACTCATAAGCTAGAGAAATAGCCTCGACTATCCACTTGCTGACTGTCTGCTTGGAAGCTGGAGGACCCTTCTTGGGTGATCCAAAGCAGACCAGCAACTGGTCAGATCTCCTGAACATACAATAGAAGTCTGATGAACATAAGTGTCCAATACTGGGCACAAGAGGTTCAACCTTTCCTGGTCCGGAGAAGTAAATGAAGGAGGATACAAGGCCTGTAGCACAATAGGCCTCGGGCTAATGGTAGGCACCTTAGGAACATATCCTTGTTCAGGAAACAAGAACGCCTTGACCATCCCCGATGCGAATTCAATGCTTGTGGGGGAAACCGAAAGGGCCTGAAGGGCTCACTGACTCTCTTAAGGGATGAGATAGCTAGTAGAAAAACAATTTTCAAAGTGAGAAATTTCTCTGAGACTGAATCTAAGGAGAGAACACCAGACAACCCTTCAAAAACTATCGCCAGATCCCAAGCCGGCAACCTAGTGCGAGTTGCAGGCCTCAGCCTCTGTGTGCCACGGAGGAAACGTGTAATCAGGGGGTCTCAACCCAGAGATGTACCACCACCAGGGTTTGGGAAGCCGCAATGGCCACCACATAAACCTTGATTGTGGAAGGACATAGACCTGTTGAGAAACGCTCTTGTAGATACTCGAGTACTGTGTTAACCGAACAATTAACTGGTTCCCACTGGCGTTGGTGACACCAAGAAGTAAAAACTTCCCATTGAAGTGAATAAAGAGGCCTTCAGAGACGATGCTGAACCGGGCGACAGATAGCTCACAAGCGTCTTTTCAGCCCGGGGCATCGACTCATAACCGTACTCTTTCAAACCCCTTATGCCTGAATAAATATGAACCTGGGGGCTGAAAACTTGGGATGAGTACGGTTTATTCCATGACCTGGACAGCTCACTGTGCAAATCGGAAAAAAAGGGAAGGCCTCGTGGTGGAAGTGACGCATTAGATGTAAGAAAACGCTCACCTTATTTGCTTTTGGGACGAGCGCCTCTTTTCTCAGCT